TGGGGTCTGGGTTAGGGCAGTCCTACTCCGTGTCTCATCCTCCAGACGCGAGACAGTGGTGGTGGTGGTGGTGGTGACCCCTCCGCTTGAGATGATCGCTACATCCTGTTGCGGCCAATATAAGCGCAGAGCCGGCTGTAGGATGCCTTCTGCCACCCTACCGCTACCGATCTTGTCACTCAAGCATAAAAAACTCCTTCAGTAGCCTTTAATTGTACGGGCGAACTGAGTGTCGCGACTTCTGGATATTTTATTGCGTGGAGAGGAAGGGTCCTTCTTTACTTTGCCGCGTTATATTAAAGAAAACTGCTCCTGTAGGTCACAGTTGGAAGATATCTGTCGACAGTTTATGTGTTATTTGCCATTACCGTTCAGCCACACATTGGTTTCTGGTCTAGGTGGCCCGAGCTTTGGACTAAGGCTTGTTGATTGGGACAGTGATCGAACTGTTCTACCGGGCACACTAACACAACTTTCATGTGCGTGTCTCTTAGCGCTGTCCTACACCTCTCTCCACCTTTTGCTTGTGTCGTATCACACCTCAGGGTGAGTGCATTATTATCCGCGACTCTCTCCTTCCTACGTGTGCATAAGTGGTCTGCTGTAATGCAACTGAATGTGCCGCCCACTCAGATCGCTCACAAAACGTCTTACCGATTACTCAAGGTTATCGCGCCCTTACCCTGGTGTGCCCTACTTGCTTAACGCATCGTTTGGAAAGAAGCGATACATGCTAGTACGTTTGTTTTGCTCAGTAAATGCTTGTTGACCTAGGGCTGTCTCACACCTCGCGCTGATGTCCCATAACACCTGAGCGTTTACTGATATTGATGGTCCCCTCTCCTCTCCCCCCGAGTTGTAAGAACTCGCAATTCTGTAGTGCTTAGTGTGTGTGCTTCTGCGCAGAAGTCTCTTTTTTTCTGGTGTTGTTTTCTGTGGTCATGCGCACCACTTCTCACCCCACCTCCCCTCCTCCCTGTATTTCTCATTGTGCATGCGTTATCAGTTTTTAAGGCCCATCTGGTTATTTTTGTGTCACGGGTTGCTTCTACAGTGAGGTTGTTTTGAGCAACTAACAAACGTGATTGGTAAGTTTAAAGCATATTTAAAAAACATAATTTCGCCTACCGCTGCTTATTGTCGCGAAACAGAAGGTTGCACAACCACGAAACTGCGTCCCACCCTATTTTCCTACTTAATTTAATTCCCTCCTTTCTGCCTATCCCATTCATCACACAGTGGTCTTCTCACGGAGCTTAGCATTTGACTCGGGCGCTTTTTTTAGTAGTGTAGGGAATTGGGCTGTTGGAGAGCGTACCAGCTGCCAGCATTCAGTATCTAGAAATAAATGCCTGTAAACTTTGGCAAATCTCCGCCTTTGTACGACTTAACCCCCCTTCACAAGGAGTGACTTCCGAATGCACACAGACGTGAAAGTCGTATCTCTTATTAATGCTCTGAAGTTTAGAATTACTCTCTTACTCCAATGACGACAATAAGCCCACAAAATTGTCCGCGATCATTACACA